TTCCCTCCCCTCCAGTTCCCACATGAGCACCCGCCTCTGCCTGTCTGTCTGAACTTCCCTTCACACCCACCCTTGGCCTAGCTCATCCTGAACACTGCAGCCTCGCTGTCCCCTTGCCCTGCATTCAGCCCGTGTCCTCCTAACTGTTCCCAAGCGGCTTCAGTGCCCCTCGCAGTGCTCCAGCTGTGCTGCACTTGTCCAGACACTGTTTCGTCACTGCCTCGGGACAATGTTGCTGATGGCCAGGGCCCCAAGATGAAGACTGTGGCACTGCATCTCAAGAGAATCAGAAAAAAGAGAAGAAAGAAAGAAAAAATGGAGAAGAGTGAGTCAAAGAGGAAAAAGAGAGAAAGGAAAAGCATATGGTGTGCTTCCTGCTCAAATCCTGAGGGCCCGCAGCCCAGGGCAGGTGGGCTGCCAGCACTCCCTAAAAGTATGCGTGCCCCTAGTGGCTGAAGGGGACACCCACGTGGCTAGAGTGGACAAATGGAAGGCTCACGCAACACAGCTGCTGACCTGGTGCTGGGGGTGCTCTGCTTTGCCGGGGGAGTGCCAGGGCCCTCGTCCTGCTCCATCAGCGGGTCGATGACAGATGGATACTCCGGCATGGTGGCACTGCCACCCTGGGGAGTGGAGTGAGTACCGGCAGGGTCCAGGTGGGAGCTGGGGATGAAGGACAAAAGGAATGAGGAGTAGCAAGCAGCCTCCCCTCTCCGGTGACCATCAGGTGTGGGCTGTGAGTGGGGACCAGGTCTCACAGCTCTGTGCTTTGAGCTAGGCCGTTGTATAGAGAGCTTAGACCCAGGTCAACTGCCCCACAACATCTGTCTACCCTCAACTAAGGAGCCTCTCCGAAGGTGTTTGACCCAGCGGACATGTGAATTAAATGACTATTTCCCCAGCTTGTGCCTGCCTCCCACACTGAGCCATGCTATGCAGCACTGTAAGTCCTGCCTCCCCTTCTCTCATCTGCCCTGGACCCATAGCACTGGGGCAGACACAGGTAGGTGTCCAGCAACACCTCACGAACAGAGCCAAACAATCCTGCCTTAGAGCCTCAGCTCCTGCTACACTGGCCCCAGCCATCTGTTTCCACGCACCACTTCAGGAGGAAACACTCTCTCTTTATAAGCGCTGCTTCCAGAATCCAGGGTTGGTCAGCTCTCCCCTTACCAGCAGAATCCCCAGGACTTGCAGCTGGCACTGTGGGTCTCCTCACACTGAGCACTGAACTGCCGCACCCGCCTCTCAGCCCGGATGGCTACAGGAGGCCCTGGCACTCACCTGGACCGCGAGTGGCTGCTGAGCTGGTGCATGTGCGGGTTGTACTGGGCCAGGATGGTGATGCTGTCGCACTGCTGCCCAATGATTAGCCGGGCCTGCTGTTCCGTGGCGCTCCGCAGGTTTATGCCATTGAACTGGGGGTACACCAGAGTGGGCTCAGTGACTTAGGAGCACCTCTCTTCCACAAAGGAGAGGAAGAAGGAGAGGTTTTCCCACAGGTACAATGCAGAAGGACAGCTTCCTCTTACCTCAAGTAACTGATCCCCATACTCGAGGCCGGCCTGGTGAGCGATGCTTCCCACGGTCACCTTAGAGACGTAGATTCCACCCTTCTCTCCGCTCACGATGGAGATGCCCAGCGGCTCCGAGCCCTTCTGCACCTTCACATGGCGTGGCTCCTCCACATAGGGCCTTGGAAAAGAACCAAAGGTTTTGGAGACTCACACCCCAAGTCAAGTCTTGGGGAGAGTCTGAAACCAGGCATGCAAACAGGCTGTGCAGAGGGCACCGGAGTTCTAGAGAGACACAGCTAGGTGGGGACATGAACCCCTCCACTGAATGACAACAGACGCACATTCCCGCAATCTCATGCAGTACAAACATGGCATACCTAATGGACATGGAAGCACCCAGACCCAACGACAAAGGATGGTCCACGTGAACTATAAACACTGATATTCACAGGGCAAACACGCAGATTGTCGCAATGTGGAGGAATTGCCTCACAATATGCAGTTTACAAATCCCAGAGGCGGGTGCGTCTCAGGATCCCTCTGAGGAAAAGAGATGCTTCTGGGATGACATTCTCTCCGGAAGAGACTATATATCAGTTTTTATATTTACCGGCTGTACAGGGTGATAAAACTGATCATGGACATTAAGCTGAAACCCAAGCCACTGAGGGAACTGGCAGCTTAGGGCCAGGCAGAGGCCATGCACTCAGTGCCCCGGGGGCTGTCCCTACGCTCAGGGCCAACCTCAGACTCCTCAGGGAGGTGGACCTGGGCCTGGTGGCCGCGGGCAGCCTCAGAAGAGATCTGTGGTGGTAGAGACGCCTGGAAAGTGTGAAGTTAGAAGAGAAGGGACACTCAGAGAAGGAAGACTGCCACAGATGCCCCGAATATGACGGACAGCACAGACAGCGTCAGGACTGTGCCTTCAAGCCACTCTGGACCCCGGGCTTCCAGGGCATGAACACTGAGCCTTTCCCCGGAGGAGAAGCTCCTGGCCAAAGGTTGGGGGACGGAGCTAGCCAGACGTCCACCTCTTTGACTCTCTTCAGGAGCGTGTGCTGGGGACGGAGTACCATGTGAGGGAAGGACAGGGCAGGAGGGAGGCCCCCAGGCCCATAGGGTCAGCAGCCTCATCCTGGGTCTTGCAGCTCAACACCAGACCCCCAGGAATAGCGGGATACAATTTCTTCTTGAATTGTCCTCGTTCTCTCCTACCCTGAAAATGTTCTCACTTCCCAGACCCACTGGCTCTACATTCCTCCCTCCACCTTCCTGGCTGTCACCGCCAGTCACTTCGATGACTCCACGTGCACCGAACACGAGGGGATTTAGTGTGGCAGGAACCCTTAGCAGGCAGCCACCTCAATGCTGCCCTCCTTCCCCCAGTCTCGGCATAAGGAGGGGAGGCTGCCCGAGGTGAGGGCAGAGAGAGGTTTACCTGGGGGTTCCTCCCCACTGAATGCTTTCTTCTGTCCCACCTCCACACAACAAGTTATCTTGTTGGAGCGGGTAACTAAGCCAGAACAACAGCCACACAACAGAAGCCAGGAAGCTATTATGAACGAGGACATAAATCAGGATTTAGTGGCATGACAGAGGCAGAGGACACAGCATGGAGTGTGAAAGCAGACCAGTAGAATGCATTCGTATGAATATGTACACATATCCACGTGGGAATTCATAGTAGAAGAAGAGATAGCTATGGAAATGTTAACAATGGTGATCTGTACTTTTACATCTTTTCAGTGATTCAAGATTTCTAGACTATGCTCAAATTTTCTTTTCTTTTTTTTTTGAGAGGTTTTTGCTATAGGGCGCATGCACTTACCAGAAAGACAGAGACAGACAGAGAGACAGAAAGCAAGAAATCACCCCCCAGGGGGGATGGCCACACCACAATCCCTTCCCCTCCATTCTCCTCTCGGGATCTTGGGCATGCATGCACATGCGCCTGGCGTGAGTTTAAGCCACCAGGTCCAGGACTCGAACCATGGTCAACTACATGGGAATCCAACGACATAGCCATTACGCTAACTGCTGGTCCCTATGCTCAAATTTTCTAAGAATATGGCTGCTTTGTTAAAGAGGGTTATAATGTATACTGATACTACATTATGAATAGCTTGAAGAAAAATAGCTTTTTTCTTTTCTTTTTTTCAAAGGGGACATGTGCACTCAAAGAGAGACAGAGAAAGCACTCCCCAGTGGGGCATGGTCACACTCAATCCTGTCTCCATTTCTCCAGATTTGGAGCCCTGGGCAGGGTGTTTCTCAAGCCATCAGGGGCAAGATTCCAACTATACATTTGGCCGTGTGGGATCTGGCTCCCTTAACCACCAGGCCATAGGGTCAGCCCAAAATATATCATCATAAGATGTGAGATGTGATGCAATTACATATATAAGATAAAATTAGATGATTATTTAAAATGAAAGATGAGAAATAGGATGATGTATAAAATAAATAAAACATACATAAATAAAATACATAAATACATCTATGCAACAGATAGATATATTTATCATAAACAAATATCAACATATATATCTCAAGAGGTTAATAGCAACTTCAGGCTAAAGTGTATATGTAACTTTTTCTTCTTTCAGCCTTCCCGATTTTCTATAATTAGCATATGACAGTATACTTGAGAATCAGGAAAAAGGGACTATTTTTAATAAGTGGCTGTTCAGTTAGGTGACATAAGTTAAACTGTATCCCTAATTAGATCATAAGCAACATCGGGGTGTTTCCCTCTCTCCTGGAGCAGTCCCAGCTCTTTGTACGACAGTGAGTGAAGGGAATGCTTAATTACCTGTGGCAAGGCCCCTCCACACTAAGGAAGCCAATCTGTGCAGGGAAAGCCCTGTCTCTGGGTGGCTGGAGCAGAGGCTGAGCACATCCACACGTCTGGGTTCTTGTGTACACACACGGGTGAACCCTCCATAACCATGTCCCTATGCAGGGCCCCTGCTTCCCCTCCTAGGGTCGGGCCTTGGTATGCGGGTATACTTCTGTTCCCCTCAGGCTCCCTGACAAGTGCATATTTCCAAGTCAAAGGTTACATATTCTTTACAGAGGGCCCACCAAACAGGGGTCCCTCCTGAGGCTCACAGCTCCAGGGGCCTCACTTGTTTGGATTCAAGGGCACACAGGTAGCTGCGTTCTTTTCCAAGAACACAGCTAAATGAAGGTAAGTTTAAGTTTAATCAGATCTGGAGGTCTACGATCTAGACAGACCCTTTTCAATATAAATATGATCGACTGAGTTGTCTGGAAAGCTCTGATGCATTTTTGCATCAAAAACCAGAAAAATAAATCATGACTTTTTAAACGACCTAACAGAAAGCTCCATTCAGGAGAACAACAGAGAAGGACAAGTATGTACGAGTGTGGGGGTGATGGACCTCACGGAAGTGCTCTGGCCTACATCAAGTCCAAGTTAACAGAAACCCCCAGCAGAGACTGGCCTGCAATTTAAAACGAGTCAATAAATGGCTGAGCTGTACATTTATGCTTTATATACTTTATTCCTATGTGTCTTTCATTGCACAATAAAAAGCCTTGGTGAGTGGGGAGTGGAGTAAAGAATCAAGAGAGGCAGCTATATTCTTGGGCCAAAACAAATGAATCCAGGACAGACTAGACCCAGTTTCCTTCCATGTGTGAAAGGGGGCCAATACGGGGTTCCTGTGAGGATTTCATTACTTAATACATGTCAAGTGCTTGAACTGGACCTAGGAAGCAGTAAACTGCCACAGGTCACTGTCAGGTCATCGCCAACACCATTTGTCTATGCCCACCCCACCCTGCTCCTGTGAGCATGTGGCAGGAGGAGTCCCTGGCACCTTACCTTGGCATCTACACCAAGGTTTACTAGGGACGTGCAGGAGCAGGATAGTGAATGTCAGGTGACCCATGCCAGAGCAGCTGAGCCTGGGATCAAATCGACATGGAACTCTACAGGCCCTGCTGCTTCTACCAACTTGGTCCAGGTGTACCATCATGGCCTTGCCCATGCCCCAGAGGCCCAGTCCCACTCACCTGTCCTTTCTTCGCTCCCCAAGGGATGCAGGGTTGACGGCAATCCTGGGCAAGGTGGAAGCTGAGGTCTGGGACTGGCTACAAGAGGACAGGGTGTCGATGTTCAGAGGTGATTGCGGGGGAGTGCTGCATTCAGAATGTGACAAGGAACCTGCCGAGAGAAGACCGGGGTCTCAGGTATGTGATCAGCCAGGGCAGGAGGAAGACGTGATCCAGACACATAGCTCCATGTGCCGACGGTGTGTCAAGGTCTTGCATGCCCGTGCTGGGCTTCCTGCTGCCTTTCTAGCCCCACCTCACCAGGGTGAAGCCAAGGCTCAGTGAGCATCCCTGACCGTGATGACTAACAGCTCTGGGCTGCACCCGCAGACTCTACTAAGTGAAGACAGAGTGACATGGAAGGACAAACAGGTGGGGTACAGCATTCTTACCTCTGTCAGACCCCACGACAGACCGGGGATATCTTGGCGTCGAAGGGATTTTAATACGTTCTGCCTTGAACTGCAAGTTACTTGATGACCCTAGCATTCCATAAAAGAGACAAAACCTCAGTCCTCATTGTCAAAACCACCCCTCACACTATCTCCACCACTTCTGTAGTCCAGAAGTGAAATGCAAAGCTGGGCCCCGTTGCCTATTCCCAGGGAATAAATGATGCGGGACAGTCAAGGACAACTGTTATTACCCCTGGTCTTGAGTAAACTGTGCAGAACAGGAGCACACGAGCCTCACTTGATGTCCAGAACAGCAAACTGAGTGGCATGGGTGCTGCTCTATCCAACACAGTGGCACCAGGGTCTCTTCTCCATAAGTGAATGGCCACACAGAATACCCCAGAATGACCAATAAGCTCAGGCAAGAAGCAAGGCTCCTAGCCCAGGGGTCATCTGGAACAACCACAAGCCACCAAGGAAAGTGAAAGGCCAAAGGAATGGCTCTGAGTCAGCACGGGCACAACTGCTCCCAAAGGTGTCAGCCCTTCGTGGGCATTTGGCCCCAGACCGGAGTGCGTATGTGCAGCCCACGGAGCTGGGAATGAGGATGCAGGCGGGGATGAAAAAAAGCTGCTGCCTCCTATCACAGAAGGTCCTAGTGGAGCACTTACCGAGGCGGGCACTGGAGGGCAGCGAGTTGGACCCGTGGGAGGCTCGCATCTCTGAGTAGTCGCTGCAGGTCCTGTGGCTCAGATCCAGGCTCAGCCGTCCCTGGTGCTGGACACTGCTCGAGAACCAAAGAGAGAAGGGGCTGAGGGAAAGCACCAGACAGAACATGGCCACAAGAGAGAAACATGAGGACCAACCTGGGTCTCCCTGAGCAGCAGAAGGGAGACCAGGAGCTACTTTTTGTTTGAGGACAGAAGGCGGCTCCCTAGTCACCTTTTGGAGGTGGCATCCAAGGGGGCCCCACACATAAAGCCACTTCAGGTATGAGGTCAGAATTTGGCTACAGGGAAAAACAGAGGCTCAGCTAGTTGGGTAGGCCCTGGGAAGCAGACTACACCTCTCCTCTTATGTGGTAGGGAGAGAGGGGCTTTGAGAGCTCCGAGAGGGGAGCTATCTACCTCACTCAGGGGAGCATATACAGGAAACTGAAGGGCTGGGGCAGAGTGTGCAGGGGTCACCTTTGCCAGGCTCCCTCAGTGCCTTTTCTACCTGTATGATGAGTTGACCTCTCTCCCCAACTTAATACCCTCCAGTGGCCCAACCACAGTGGCCAAGACCCATGGCCTGGTAGGTAAGAGAGCCACATCCCACATGGCCAACAGTAACTTAAATCGCAGTTCCACTGTTGGAAAAACACTCTGAGAGCATGTGTGTGTGTGCCCAAAATCCTGACAGGAAGAAATGGAGGAGATCGGATTGCATCATGACCAGGCCCTACTCAGGGGTGCTTCCTCTCCTCCCTGCTGTCTCTCTGTCTCTCTCTAGTGTGTGCATGCACCCTCTGATAATTACAAGTAAATCTGTAAAATGAATAAAAGTGACTTTCAGTTGGCCCATCGACCTTTGAGGGGCCACTTGCCTTATCTCTAAAACAGAGACAATACTACTACTTAGTGCATAAGGTTGCTATGTCAGTTAGATGCGATGCTATTGATAAAGGTCTGAGCACAATGCCTGGGATGTGAGCACTCAAACGTCAGCTGCTATCACCATCATCATTCTTTAGCTACTTCTGGCATTCCACGTTAGTGAATGAACAGAGCACCCTTAAGTTCCCTCTGCATAGTCCCAGCACTGCCCCAAGCAGCCCCTCCCAAGTCAGACAAGGCAGCCTCTCTACCCATGAGTCACAGACAGCTCTATGACCAGGTGGGCTTGGACTGCAGGGGTGCAGAGGTGTGGGTTGTCTTCACATACCTGGGATGCAATCCTTGGGGGCCAACATCTCGGGGCACAGGTGGGGAGCTGCATGGGCCAACCCTGTGGCTGCGCACAGTGTAGATGGGGTTCCGCAGAATAGAGCTCACGGTGGTACTAGGGGTCATACTCCGGGGAACGGTGCCTAGAAATGGGCTGGTAAGAACAATTGCCCCGAAGGCACCCAACCAGCCCTGAACTTGTGCAAACCTTCTCCCTGTACTACAGGGAAGTGGCCAGGCTTCTGAGAAAGGACTCAACAGGCCAGAGTTGTAACCACCAATCTGCTGTGTAGCTTTGGCTACTGTCTCTGCCTCTCTGTAAAATGGAGAACTCACTGACATGCTTATTTCTCAGGCTACTATGGGAAGAACTGTCATGGATGTAAGACCAGCCATCCCAGACAGGGCAGCACTTCCTGGTCCTCTGGACCTCAGGGCTGATGGCACATGGTGGCTCCCTGAAACACCTGTCTCTTCTCTCCTCAGAGATGAGGCAGCCCCGTACCCATGCTGACCCTCATCTGCAGCCCCTTGTCCACCGACTCACCCACAGACGGCCTGCTGGGGTACAGTGGGGGGTTGCTGTGCCGACTGGAATGCCCTGGTGAGTAAGGGGACCACTCCTGGAGCTCAGGGGAGAGGTCTCCACTGGTGGGGATGCACTTCTGTTCCTGTAGGAGCAAAGGCAAGAGGTGTCTGCTGGGAACTCTGAAATGCCAGGGTATGTGTGAGAGCCAATTTCTTTCCCCATGCACTAGCTCCACCCAGCCGGGCACAGGAGGTGAGTCAGGAGAAAAGTCACTGCTCACTCATGTGGCCTTACACAGCTGGAAAGAAAGAACTTCCTTTACAAACCTCTCAGAGATAGTCTCTGTTTTTCCAAATAAACACATGAGGTGCAAAAGAGGTGAGAACACGTGGGTGCATCAGGCACAAAAACAACTCTCCCCAAGATGCACAGCTGTGGCACAGCAAGCAGCACAGACAGAGCTGAGATGTGGTCTCTGGCCCCTAGCCACCTCCTCCTTCTCATGACTACACCACACACAAAGACAGGACTAGCTGCTGCCAGTTAACAGTCTCACGTGGGCCATCTCATCTTCCCAATCAAGGCACGTCCACGTCACCAGGTTTTGTAGTGCATGTTCAAAAGCTCCTCGTTGAAAAGGCAAACCAAATGCCATGCCCAAGACAGTGTTCTTCTTCGGGTCTAATTCCCACTGATTTGCATATCCCACGTTACTTTTCTGCCTCAAAGTAGGAGCTACTTCCCACTGGCACTCACGTGGGCCATCTCATCTTCCCAATCAAGGCACGTCCACGTCACCAGGTTTTGTAGTGCATGTTCAAAAGCTCCTCGTTGAAAAGGCAAACCAAATGCCATGCCCAAGACAGTGTTCTTCTTCGGGTCTAATTCCCACTGATTTGCATATCCCACGTTACTTTTCTGCCTCAAAGTAGGAGCTACTTCCCACTGGCACCCACCTGCCACCCGCCCCCCCCCCCTCCTTGGGCAGGGGTCAAGAGCAG